AGGGACAGAGGGGCGGGGCTAACAGATGCTCTGCCTGATTTGGCAGAAAAGTGTCGTCATTTATCTTCCCGCTCTCTCTCTCTCTCTCCGTCTCTCCTGTTTTTCTTCTCTCTACATCCCCCTCGCTCCCTCTCCTTCTTTATCCGAGTCTGCTCGACTCTCCCTGGAGAAACAGTCTGGCTGTGTAAATCTGAGGGAAGGTGGTAGAAACAGCAGCCGAGGACTGATCTGATGCTCCGTAGCCTGGAGACTCACTCTGACAGGCTCATATCTGTTTGATCCTGACAGACAGAGCGACACGCTGAAAAGAAAACACACACCAGCGCTGTGCCTCTGATGTGGCTTTATGGCTTTTCTACGCCTTTGTCTTTATGTTGGATATGTGTTCAGTAGAGAGCACCGCGTCTGAGCGCGCACCTACAGCACCAGCCACCCGGCTGAATTTTCATCTTAAAGGCAAGACAAGTTTATTTATACAGCACCTTTCATACACTGATATCATTCAGAGTGTTTTACAATAAATATAAAGTCAATAACAAAGAACAGAGATTAAAACATGATTAAAACTGCCGATTTTAAAAGAGAAAAATCCTTGAATTAAAAATCAAATTAAAATAAAAGATTAAAGGTTACACTTTATCTGGATAGTCCACTTTGTAGACCCTTGAATATAGCAGCAGTTTTGATGTCTGAGGCGCCAGAATGTAACTGCTGGACTATTTAAGGTGGAAGGGGAAAGGCTGTCCGTAACCATGTGACCCAACTAACAATCCCTAGAAGATACTGCACAGCGTACATGTGAGTGAGTACACGAGTGTCCTCCTCACCTCTGGGGTTGATGAGCGAGGCGTCAGTGGCTTTGCCGCCGTCTCCACACTGGTTGGGGTGGAAAGGAGTGCACTGCTCTCCGTTTCCGGCCAAAACCTCGGCGTTCCGGCTCAGATCTCGCGGCTCGGTCACAGCCTTCAGCCTCAGAATCCTCCGACTGCTGCTGTCCGACACGTACACGGCCTCGCTGACCGGGTCCAGAGCCAGGTAGTACTTATGAGCAGGACTGGCGCTGAGAGAGAGAGAGACAGAGAGAGAGACGGAGAGGGAGAGAGAGAGAGAGGATGTACTTGCCATTCAGCAGTCTTTCCAAAAACAACAGCTGTTAAAAGACATCTTGTTGAAATGTGTTGATGTGTTATATGCAAATTTTCAGGGGTTTCTGATCAAATGACATTTTGTTGATTTTCTAAGTGAGACTAAGTTAATACGTCCTCTACACTGAACACATTTTAGCTGTTTACTGTACAATTACTGTTTATTTGCTGAGTTTTTATTATTTTTATTGGGTAAAAAAAACATATACATGATATGGCCAAAAGTATGTGGACACCTGCACATCACATCTGTATGAGCTTGCTCCATTTCAAAACCATAGGCAATCATATGGAGTTGGTCCCCCTTTGCAGCTGTAACAGCTTCCACTCTTCTGGGAAGCTTCCTACAAGATTTTGGAGAGTTTCTGTGGGAATTTGTGAGGTCAGACACTGAGAAGGTCTGGCTCACACATGAACATTCCAGTTCATCCTAAAGGTGTTCAGTGGGGTTGAGGTCAGGGCTCTGCGAGGGCCACTGGAGTTCCTCCACACCAAACTCATCAAACCATGTCTTTATGGAGCTGCTTTGTGCACTGGGGTCAGTCATGCTGGAACAGGAAAGGTTCTTCCCCAAACTGCTGACACAAAGCTGGAAGCATATAACTGTAAAAAATGTCTTGGTGCTGAAGCATTAAGATTCCCCTTCACTGGAACTGAGGGACCCAGCCCATCATCCCTCCTCCACCAAACCTTACTGTTGGCACTGTGCAGTCAGCCAGGTAACGTTCTTCTCTGGCATCCATCTAACCCAGATTCGTCCATCAGACGGCCAGACAGAGAAGCTGATTCATCACTCCAGAGAACACGTTTCCACTGCTCCAGAGTCCAGTGGCGGCGCTTTACACCACTCCAGCCGACGCCTGGTATTGCGCATAGTGATCTTTGGCTCGTGTGCAGCTGCTCAGCTGTGAAACCCATTTCAAAGCTTCTGACACAGTTCTTGTGCTGATATTGCTTCCAGAAACAGTTTGGAACTCGATGAGTGAGTTTGTGGCTGAGCAGTTGTGGCTCCTATATGCTTATATTTCACTATGATAGCACTTCCAGTTGGCTGGGGCAGATCTAGCAGGTTGACAACAGCATCACATTTAAGCGTCACTGAGCTCTTCAGTACGACCCATTCTACTGCCAGTGTTTGTCTGTGGAGGCTGCATGTCTGAACTCAAGAAAATAAGAGGGTGTCCACATACTTTTGGCTATATAGTGTATATAAAATGTGGCCACTATGGAATATTTTATATATTATGTTTTTCCAATATGTTAAAATCAGTATTCAGGTTTATCCTGTGATTAGAAAATGATCAAAACGTGTAATTCGATCCAGTGACGTTCGATCTTTTGCATAGAGCCGTATAATAATGGTATGTATGACAGTACGTGAGGAGACGTACCTGTGTCTGATATCTCTGTTTCTGGAAAGGCGTCACAGCGGAAACGAAAGAGAGAGAGAGAGAAAAAAAAACATAAGTGAATTTCTTTTCCCTCAGCTCTTCATTAAGGCGTTCATTAGAGACCCCCGAATATTTCTCCATTTAACAGTCTGACACTTTCTAATTCTGACACATAAAAGCCAGTCTGATAAAGATGCACCTTCAATTAGAATAAAAAAAGGTCTAATTTATTTTATTAGGCTCCCATCAGGTAGTTAAACGAAAGGCTTTCACATATTACAGAGTCATAAAGCCCAATGAAGGTGTTGATATTCCCCAAAACCAAAACCAACAAATTTTAGATGATACAAATGTAACATTTACAAAAAAAGCCTTCAAACGTCGCTGTGATTAGCGATCAGTGACTCATAACGTTCAAGGACAAAGCGCTAATGAATCGCAGCAACAATTACTCACGAGCTAATAAATACGATTATTTGCGAGCTAATGAAAAGCTAACAAATCAGTGCCGCTTACAAGCTCGTAAATGACAATGGGATTTGCGAGCTAATAAAAGACAACAACGTTATTTACCAGCTAATAAACAACGTCGCTACTAAAAAGCGGATCAACAAAGAAGTTTTGGTTTAGCGCACAAAAAAATTCCGAGAGACTCTGTCAACACATGCAGATTAGCATTTGTTCTCCAAGAAAACGAGCCGAATTTAGATGACCTGCTGTTCCGGAATGAAAAGGGTGTTGATTATTTACTCAACAAGCAATCAAACAAGCAAAGTGGAAAACCAGAAAAGCTGAGAGCGGAAATCTGTACACAGCGTTCAGCTGCAACACAGAACTCTTTTCCTCTGACTTTCCAGCGGAGCTCTGACTCTTAGACGTCTGGAGTTATTACTGTTATTTTGCTATACGTTTAAATGTGATTACATCATTAATTTATTCATTTAAGTGAAAAGAAGTGAACACGTTCTGCGCTGAAAAGAGAACGCTGACTTCTCTCGAGTCAGACGTGCACGTCGGCTCCACATGAATAGAACATCTCATCAACTCGATTCTTTCCCAAAGTGAGTCAACTGAAAAAAAAATGTTGATTTAACATATTTTATTCACGTGGAACCAAAATACAACATGAGTTTAATATATCGCTGCTGTCGGACCAAAATCTCGTATCTCATCGTTTTTCAGTTTTTGACATAATTTGATAAAACATACTGTTTTTTATATTTTGTGCAAATTTCACGATGAATGGTTTGAAAGAAACGGCCCAAAATTACTTGGAAAAAATTCTGGTTCCATTGACTTTCATTGAAAGTAAAGTAGGTTTTGTTCTTCTGCTGTAAAGTTACCATTTCGGACATACGAGGTTTTGGTCCGACAGACCAGACATACAGTCTTTAAAAAGATCTTCAAGGATTCTTTAGTAAAGAAAATGGTTCTAGATAAAACTACGAACTCTCAAAGAGCCCTCTAATAAAAGTGTTCTTTGCATGGTAAAATGGTTCCTCGGATTGGTGGAGAGTGTGCTGTAGATGGTTCTATACAACACCTTTCTGAAAAGCGTTCTATATAGCATCCAAAATGGTTCTTCTGTTGTTATAATGTCAAGCTTTCTACAATAAAAGAACCCTTGTTGGTGTTATATAGAACCCTTTTCAAAAAAGTTCTATATAGAAACATCTACAACACTTTTTCCATTAATCTGAAGAACGCTTTAATCACGCAAAGAGTTCTTTGAGTGTTTGTGGTTCTATGTAGAAGTTCTTTAAGGGTTCTTTAGCAAAGAAAATGGTTCTATATAGAACAATGAACGCTCAAAGAACCCATTTTCATGATTAATGGGTTCTTTGCATGGTAAAATGGTTCCTCAGATTGACGGAGTGTGTAGATGTAGAACCCTGTTCAAAAAAAGGGTTCTATATAGTACCAAAAAGAGTTTATTTTATCAAGTTTGATATCGTAATAATAGAAGAACCCTTTTGCAATATAGAACCCTTTTCAAAAAGGTACAACACATTTTCCATCAATCTGAAGAACCATTCAATCAAGTAAAGGGTTGTTTGAGTGTTCATGGTTCTACATAAAAGTTCTTCAAGGGCTCTTTAGTAATGAAAATGGTTCTAGAACACTCAAAGAACTCTCTGATTAAAGTGTTCTTTGCGAGGGTTCTATACAGCACCAAAAAGAGTTATTCTACTGTAAGAAGTCTGACATCGTAACAATAGAAGAACCCTTTTTGGTGCTATATAGAACCGTATATAACACATCTCCATCAATCTGCAGAACCATTTCACCATCATTAATTTATTCATTTCTACATCAGTGAAAATAAGTGAACACGTTCTGCGCTGAAAAAAGAACGTCGACTTCACTCGATTCAGACGTGCACGTCGGCTCCACATGAATAAAACATCTCATCAGCTCGATTCTGTCTGAAAGTGAGTAAACTGGAAAAAAAAATGTTGATTTAACATATTTTATTCATGCAGAACCAAAATATAAATCTGAGTCAACTCAGAACTCTTTATTTCAGAGAACAGGAAACACTTAAACACGGCAATTTTCTGCTATTTTAGTGTTTCATTTCCATCTATTTCATTTTTGTTCGCTGAGTTTAACATATACACTCTAAAAAAGATGGTTCTCCAAGGGTTCTTTAGTAAAAGAAAATGGTTCTATATAGAACCATGAGTACTTAAAGATCCCTTTGCATGATTAAAGGGTTCTTTGCCTCATGAAATGGTTCTTCAGATTGATGGAGAATGTGCTGTAGATGGTGCTATATAGAACCTTTTTAAAAAAAGGGTTCTATATAGCACCAAAAAGAGTTCTTCTGTTGTTATAATGCCAAGCTTGTTACAATAGAAGAACCCTTTTTGGTGCTATATAGAACCATCTACAGCGCATTCTCCATCAATCTGAAGAAGTGCTTCACGATGCAAAGAAATCTTTAATCATGCAGAGGGTTCTTTGTGTGCTCATGGTTCTATATCGAAGCACTTTCTGTACTAATGAACCGTTGAAGAACCTTTTTAAGAGTTTGGGAAAAAATAAGACATACAAAATGTAAACACAATTTAGACAAATGTTAGGTGTGGACTGAAAGCGTATAATCTGACCGCTCCAGCCCGATGATCAGAGACGCTGCAGTCTGAGAGGCCTTGAGTGTCCGCAGTAAAAGCTTGTTGTTTGTTGAGAGAACGTTAAGAACTTCACAAGCCTTATCTAGAACTGCATGGTTCTGATCAAACCTCGCACTGACCTGAGCTCCAGGACACTGACGGTGAATCCGTTGGGCAGAATTCTCCGGATAAAGTTGAAGTCTCCGATGTATACGCTTCCGTCCGACCCGCACGCCAGCGCCACGGGAGCGAAGAGCTTCCGTTCGGCCGCCGGGCCGTTACAGCTCGGACACGCGATCGGACGCACCGCCCCCGTCCCCATCACCGTGGAGATGAGTGGGGGCTGCTGGGAAATAAAGACGTTCTCCCCAGTCCCCTTTGTGGAGAATTCCTACAAAGTGAGAGAAATTTCAGTGCATACAACATCTTTGCTGTCCACAAAAGTAAATATCTTCACTTTTGGCAATTTTCTGTGCGTAATTTGAGGTCAGCACTGATCTTCACATTGTGTGAAAATTTCATGATGATTGGACCAACAGAAATGATCAAAAATTACACATTAACTTACACTGAAAGTGAAGAATATTTCTGTCCTCTCCTGTAAAGTTACCATTATGGAGATACTAATTTTTCTTTGCACAGCATCAACATGTGAAGTCTAGTCTGTGCATTAAACATATAAGACAAACGTATAAAAATCACAGGTGTAAACGTTGATTGCTATGTGTTCCTCGTGTTTGACAAACAGTTTCCACATAGCAACTGTTGAAGGTGTGTTAAAATCTGTCACCATGATACAATTAGACTAGCAACACCCTAGCAACCATCAGAGATACCACAGCAACTAGTCTGCTACACCCAAGCAACCATCAGAGATACCACAGCAACTAGTCTGCTACACCCAAGCAACCATCAGAGATACCACAGCAACTAGTCTGCAACACCCTAGCAACCTTCAGAGAAACCACAGCAACCGGTTTGCAACACCCTAGCAACCATCAGAGATACCACAGTAACCAGTCTGCAACACCCTAGCAACCTTCAGAGATACTTCAGCAACCGGTCTGTAACAACCTGGCAACCTTCAGAGATACCACAGCAACTAGTCTGCTACACCCAAGCAACCATCAGAGATACCACAGCAACTAGTTTGCAATACCCAAGTGACCATCAGAGATACCACAGCAACTAGTCTGCAACACCCTAGCAACCTTCAGAGAAACCACAGCAACCGGTTTGCAACACCCTAGCAACCATCAGAGATACCACAGTAACCAGTCTGCAACACCCTAGCAACCTTCAGAGATACTTCAGCAACCGGTCTGTAACAACCTGGCAACCTTCAGAGATACCACAGCAACCAGTCTGCAACACCCTAGCAACCACCTGGATAACATGAGAACCGCTTAGAAACACCCTAGTGATCACCTGGAACACCACGATAATCCACTAGCAGCATCACAGAAACCTGCAGAGATACAATAGCAACCGGTAACCAACACTCTAGTGACCACCTGAGATCACATAGGAAAAGCCTAGCAACCAGCTCCCTTACCATGACAACCAACTAACATCCCCTACACACTTAAAAAAGATGGTTCTTCTATTTTAACAAGCTTGATATCGTAACCATAATAACTAGAACTTTTTGGTGTTAGTAGAACCCTTTTCAAAAAGGTTCTATATAGAACCATATACAACACCTTCTCTAACAATCTGGAGAACGCTTTTGGAATGCAAAGAACAATTTAATCATGCAAAGGGTTCTCTGAGTGTTCATTGTTTTATACAGAACAGCGGTCTTTACTAAAGAACCCTTGGAGAAGTTCTTTAAGTTTGCAGCAAACC